TTCCACACATGCATATGCAGATTAGAAATCAGACAAAGGCTTGACAGGATCCCCTGCAGAACTCCAGTGTTCTGGGCAGCTCCCTCTCTGGTGTTCTGTCCAGCAAATTCTAGCAGTTTTGGCTGCCCTGAACTCTCAACTATGTTTCCACAGTGAGACGACAGGGCTCTTTCCCCTTCCCTATCCTGCAGCCTGGAAACCCTCCAGGTAGTAAGCTAAAAACCACTCACAGGACTCACCTTGTTTACTTCCCTTCTCTCAAAAATCACTCTCCTGCACCGCCTGTTATCCAGTGTCTGAAAACTTTTGATTCACACATTTTGTTCTGTTGTGCAGCTGTTTTAAGGTGAGAAAGTAAATCTGTCTGTTACTCCTTGGAGTAACAGACTGGAAATGGAGGTCCACAGAAGTAACAACTACTAACAGTTTGGAGTGCATCCTTTCAGACTTCTAACGCAGACGGCATCATTTTATCAAAATGGAAATATGTTATGCAAACTTCTCACTTAGCTATGCATCGTGGATCTTATTAAATACACACAAACCTAACCTCATTCTTTTTAACAACAGCAAAACACAGATGTACCACACTTAAAAATTATTCTAGTGATGAGCATTTAAGTTTTTCCCCCTAACTTTCACCTACTAGAAAATAGGCCCTAAAGAAAATACTTCTATGCACAATCTAGCTTATTTGCATTATTACTGCTTAAGGCTAAAGACCTGGAAGTAGGATTGCCAGAAATAGGTATGCGCATTTAACATTTTTATAGATACCACCTTATTTCAAAAAGACCATCAATATACAGTCTCCTCGGATTTCTGAAGGTAACCATTTTGCACACACTGGCTGTTATTGGTTATTTGTTGTTTTGTTTGTTTTACTAATCCAAATTCAAAAGGTTATTTACCTTTTTTTTTAACATTTCTTTCACTGTTAGTGGAGAATATTTCCATTTTTTTACCGAACATTCACGTTTTTTCTTCTGAATTCTGTTTTTTCCTATTATGTTGTTCATTTTTTTCCATGACGTACAGTAATACTCATTAAGAGATATTAACTCTCAAATATTCTGACATCTTTTTTCCTCACTTTCCTTTTCTATTCCCATTGAGAAATCAAGAGCAGAAGAGAAAATTCAAGGATTAGCGAGGCCATTTCAGCCATCCATAAATTCTTGGTGGCATGCTTCACTATCAAGACTCCCACGAGACTTAGAAACTGCTCAGAATCAGGGCACCTGGATGGCTTAGGTGGTTAAGCTTCTGACTCTTGGCTTCAGCTCAGGTCACAATCTCACAGCTCATGGGATCAAGCCCTGCATCAGGCTCCACACTAACAGCCTGCTGGGGATTCTCTGTCTCTCCCTCTCTCTCTGCCCCTCCCCCAGCCGTGCACGTGCTCGTTTGCTGTCTATCTCAAAAAAAAGGGGGGGGGGTGCACCTGGGTGGCTCAGTTGGTTGAGCGTCCATCAGTGGCTCAGGTCATGATCTCACGGTTCGTGGGTTCCAGCCCTGTGTCGGGCTTCGAGCTGGCAGCGCAGAGCCTGCTTGAGATTCTCTGTCTCCCTTTCTCTCTGTCCCTCCCCCGCTTGCATGTGTGCACTCTCTCTCTCTCAAAATTAAACATTAAAAAAAATTAAAAAAAAAAAAAAAGAAACTGCTCAGAATCTATTCTTACATAACAATGGCCTCCAGTTTTTGAGCTACGGAGTATACAGCAGGCACTGTAATAAATGTAGTCATATGCTATCCCATTCTAATTCTCTCTGTAGGAGAATGTTAATTATTCACATTGTACGGATGAGGAACCATATTAAGAAACCTTAATAAGTTGCCCGAGATCATACAGCTCGTTAGGGAAATGTTTCAGGATTCCAAAGTAAGGCCAGGTGACTCCAAACACCAACTTCCCAAGCCAACTTGCTCTGCTCTTCTTACTAAATATTCAAATCATATACTTATATAGGTACGTATGCATACATATACATGTACACTTACATATGAAATCTCAAGGGACCTTACTTCTCTGCCTTTCCCATTCTAACACTCCAAAAGACTACTACGGCTGTTTCAGTCTTTCGCCCTCCACCCCCATCCACTGATAGTCATGCTTTGGAGTTGCCCCATTTAGGAAATAAGAATGAAGATACCCCGTTAAAATTTGAACTTCAGATCAACAGCGAACGATACTGGAAATCATTTCGTTCTCTGACATCCAAATGTAACTTGGCGTCCTGTATTTTATCGGACAACCTTATCAAGCTCAGACTTTACTGGGGTTACAGGTCTCAATGTCCTGTCTCCAGGTAGGAAACAACGCCCAATGGAGGCGCTGGATGTCGATACGGTGCCGCCAAAGCCTCCCTAAGAGAGGCAGCCAGTGCTCATTTCCGAAAACGTCAGACGTGGATGCGAATGGCACAGGTCGAGACTCGATCCCCAGGTCCACTCCCTACAACACGGTCCTCAAAAGGCCGACAGGGACCCAAAGAATCAAAGTCGGGAGCACCGACCCCCGCAGAAGACGGGAGGGAAGCAAGGGAACCGTGCGGGAGCCGCCGCAGGTCAATCACATCCCGAGGGCATTCCAGAGAAGAGAGGGCTGCAGAACCGCCGCCAGGCCGCCCTCCCTCCTGCCCGTGCCGTGGGCCCGACTCGGCCTCGGTCACCCCCCCCCC